GACGCCCAGTCGACACACCTCCCGTTGCGCCCATGGCCTCCGCTACAGTGGCAGTGCGGGCTGCAGGGGGGCCGGCCCTCAACGTGTGCCAGTGATGGCCCTAGGGACGGGAGGAGTGAGTGCGCTGAGGGCGGTACATTAATCATTATAGATCCTGTGGCATGAGACTGTCCCGCTCGCCATGCGCCCGCGGCTGTGGTGTGGCGAGTGAGCGAACGCACGAGAGAGGGGCGGTACGAGCCGTAGAGCTCTAACCCAAACCTAACCCGAGACTAACCCGAGACTAACCCGGCGCTAACTAACCCGCGCTGTGCTCGGGGCATACGTTAGGACGGGTTAGTGCCGGGTTAGCGTCGGGTTAGCGTCGGGTTATGGTAACCCGTTCTGACCCGTGCTAACCCGTGCCGGGTTAGTGTGGCTTAACCCGGTGGACCCACGCTAACCCCGCTTACCGAAGGACTCGCGTCAGCACCGGCTAACCTCGAAATGTGCACCTTGGATGGCTCAAGCCTGTTCATGATTACAATAGTATTCAAGTATTGTACTCATAATACACGTGCATCGTGAGTACTCAACTCATGAGTACCACCGCAGTTGAGTATTCATACTCATGAGTACGTCTGGCGCATGCGTGAGTACTTGTACTCAAGTCCATGAATACTACTGGCCAGTCGGTCACGTCCCAAAACGCGCTCCCTGAGACTCGACCGACCGCTGTCTCTGCTCCAGCGCTTCGCATATGCCACCAAAGAGGAAGAAGGCCCAGCCTCGACTAGAAGTGCAAAAATACAAGCTGCTTCGGCAGCCGATGAATCTTATCGGCACGCAGGTCAAGTTCCTCGGGTCGTTCTGGGAAGGGCGCATGACGGCCGAAGAGAAAGCTACGGAGTACCTGTGCACGGTGCTTGACTGGAGTACCTGTGCTCGGTGCTTGACTTTCAGATCGCTCACCGCATGCAGCCTGGCGCCCCGCCGATGCTGGCAGACCCCAACCTCAACCCGGCCCACCTCGCTGTGCTGGTCAGGATTGGCTTCAACAAGAAGGCCTTCGAGCCGGCAGTGGCAGCGATCAAGGAGAAGTACTACGAGCTGTTCCGAGGCAAAGGGGGCGAGCACAAGGAGGGCTCCTCGGGCGCGGCCGGTGCGGCATCTTCATCGGCGGCCGGGGCGGCCGGGGCGGCTTCGTCGTCGGATGCCGCCGACGTGGCATCGTGAATATCTAGCCGCGGTGCCCTGTATTGTCTGTGGCTCCGTTTGTGTGTTTTAATTTTGGTCATTATTCTCTTCACAGCGCACGCGAAACGATAGCCCGGTCATGAACAACGACAAATCCTCTATCGAGCCACGCCACTAGCACTACTGGCTGCCTAATCCTCAATGCCCTCTTCAAACTCAGCAATCGCAGCCTTCACAGCCTCATCTTCCGCCTTTCGGTACTTCTTCACTGCGCCGTTCAGCTGCGCCTTGCCGCAGTTCTCGTACAGCTCCTCAAGCTCAACCCAGCGTGTATCGGCAAAGCCTGCGTCATGCTGGTCCTCTTTGAACGTGCCGCGCGTGAGGTAGCAAATGGTGTTGTCGGCAGCAGCCAGCCTGTTGAGCCGCTTCTTTCCGATCAGTTGATCGGGGTCGCAAAAGCGCATGCCGAGCACCGCCTCAATCTTGTAGCAGAATGTCGGCACGACCGCGTCATCCGCACCGCCACCTGCCAGCCGCGCCTGGCGCTGCGCCGCAGCCCCTCTCTGGCACTTGTAGCGGCAGCACATGGTGCGGTGCGCGTACTTGAGCAGGCGGTGCGCGCCGCAGTTGGCGCAGGGACCCTGGGAGTAGGCCCTGCGCGGCATGTGGACGCGCGCTCGGGTATTTCTCGGGTATACAGTGGGTTGCGGGCATTAAGAAAACAGGATTCGGCGGCACGCCGCCGTTTCTAAGCCTTTCCACAGCCCTCATCCACCCCACGCCGTGGTTTCTTAGCTCCGGCCGGCCTCCTAAGGATTTTAGGTAAGAGGTAAGCTGCGGTCCGCGAGGGCGATGCCAGAGTCTGCCGCCGAGTCGGCTCTCTGGATGACGGGAAGACGCACACACGCCTCCATCTCCACTCCACTCAGAACACCGTAGACTTGGAAAGTGACAAGTGCGCGCGCCGCAGGCGAAGAGAAATTTTGAGCTGGGGCTCCCGTTCACACTCGAGACTCGTGTCTGGCCTTTTCTCGGGGCCGCGCCTGCGGCGCGCCGTGGTTTCTTAGATTTTTGTGGAAATCTCTTGGTAGGGTTTCTTAATGCGACGTTTTCTTAATGCCCGCAACCCACTGTACCTGGACTTTTGCGGGTATACCCGGGTTTCACCTGCAAGTTGCTCACGCACTTGTATTTGAATACATTATTCATATTCATGAGTACAGGCAGACGTGAGTATTCATATTCATGGATACCAGGCGTCATGACTACTCATACTCAACAATACAAGCTGCCAAAGGATGAGTTGAGTTACTCATTGTAATCTTGAATAGGCTTGGGATGGCTGCGCTCCCTGTTTCACAGCCATCCGTGCTAAGGATGGCTGCAATTGCAGGATCCTAGCCACTCCGCCCTGCAAGCACGCGCCATTTTGGCTGCCTTCCAGCCAGTGCAGCCATCCTCCGGCCGATGGCTGCGATGGCTGTGTCCCGGCCATCCGCCCGGCCGCATGATGGCTGTCATACAGCCGTCGCAGCCATTTGGCCGGAGGATGGCTGTCGCGAATTCGACCCAGCCTTCTCGCCGCCCCGACACGAGCCCAGGTGGCTCCACTCTCGCTCCGCGAGCCACCACACCTTGTTCTGGATGGCTGGCGTCGTTATCTCTCAGCCATCGCGTTGGAACGCTTGGTCAGGATCTAGTAAGCTTAGCAATCGCCATACCAGACAAT